GCAGGCTAGTAACTTGGTGACGATTGGGATCAAACTTATTCCATGGTTTGCGCAGTCGTTGCGAGATCCCTTCTTAAAAATTCGAACAATCAGGATGATGAAATGCACCACCTACCCCTGCCTTGATCCCGGGCGGTCGCGATTTGCCGCTTTTTCCATGAGTGCTACTGACCGATCAGATATCCAATGCCTCGGGCGGGTTACGGCTCCAGATCCACAAGCAACCTTCGCTGCAGAGTGCATTGCTCGTGTAATCTGATCCGACTGTTCATTTACACTATCACTCCGCAGCGCGTTTAGCTTATGCCCTAGTTCTGATTCAAAACAGGCACGAACGGCTGGGTCAGATAAACGCTGATCTGCCAATCGAGTTTGTTGTGGTTTTCTGCGACCAGTGAGCTGGAAAATGAACTGCATCAAAACTAATGCTTGATCTGATTAAACGCAGGTGGTCCAATAGGACCCGCAGTTTTGTACTGGGCCACGCCAACGGTAGCTTACTGCTATGTCATACATCCAGTTCCCTTGACAAATTTCATCACGGCGAGGAAGAACAACATTTCAGCAGGATAACATGAATTCAGTTAGTCCGGGTACTCTCAATCAGCTGCATACGTACAATGACTGCTATGTGGTCGACCTGAGTTAGCGTGCCAGTTGAATTTGAGCGCCACGTTGCTGCCCGTTGACAGCTGTGTTGGAAGTTGGTGCTGGATAGGAACAGATAAAGATCTGCGCGGGAATGAAGAAGCCGATCACCATTAACTGTTTGCTGGCAGGGCGACTGTTGACCGGGATCCAATAGAGTAGTGAAACTTCGAAACCAAGCTTGCCTACTTGAACGGGTTTCGCTATCAATTTATGTGCAGAGGAAGAACCTCGAAGACAACCCCGATGCACTCAAGTGGTTTATAGTAATAGGATCCTAGATTTGCGTCTACGATACGCAGCATACATCAATCCCTAAAGAGTCCACTGTACGCGCCAGACATGCTTGTTGACCTACCTGCATCAGAGTCCTTACGCTGAAAGACCCCAGATTCAGTGTTTGATGAGGCTTCAGAATCTGCAACCTATTTCGTGATAAACTACTTACCGGACCCCTTGGCAACGAACTTTGGCAAGTGACGAACAAGTTGTCTGGGGAATGTTTCGCGGGTTAGAAGAAGGGGTAAAGGGTACGGAAGACAAAGAATTAAACAAGCTCATTTTCGATAACTCCCTCATCTGGCTGATATATATATATATATCACCGGCTTGAGAACAAGCATGGTGCCAATGCAAAACAATGATAATGAACTTGTGATGGGGGTACAGAAAGATAAAATGAAAATGGGGAAAACAGAGAACACGGAGATTGAATGAATGATTTGGTTTTTCTTGATAGTTTCACCGTACACTTTTTGAAGATTTTTTTATACGTAGGTAATGGGCATATCACACTTGCCTTCGTGTGATATCCCTATTCCCATCCACCCATTTTTTGTTTGCAAACCACACACAATAAACTGACTATATCTACCAATCCAATCAGAACACACATCAAACGTTAAGCAAATGTGGTATGCCTATCACCTATTTTTGTTTGTTTAGGCATTAGAGTTTGATGGGCGGGCACTGCCAGGGTATCCAGTGGCTAATCAGTAGATCCATTAGGGTTTTCATTCAAAGCCTTTAGTTCTAACAAGAACCTGACCGAAAGGCAGCGGGCAAAGCGAGGTAGAGGTCCATTTACTTGGATCCAATACTACGCTATCATTCTACCGACAAAGACGCTAACCCGAGTCGAAACCCAACCTGGAGAAGCAGAACACTGATCTGTCAAACCTCTACCCTCTGACCTTCCAAAAATGATAAAACATCCTGTCTTCATAAAGCCATCCTGTGTAGCTCGTTGGGTCACAGAGGTGCACAAGCCATCACACCATATCAAGATGCAATCCCGTCTTGATGGATCAGATCCCAAACGCCCCCGAGGTCTTCTAGGCAAACATCGGCACCTCGAGTGTACACGAAGAGACACTTGTTAAATTTGAACATTTTCTCAGACCAGGAGCAGTGGAGATATTAAGGTTTTGTTATAGGTGCATTAAAATCGGACAACTGGCTAGGAAGTGTGAGGAAAACGGTAAATGCTCGGTTGATGGTTGCACCGGCAGGTATCATGGTTTACTTCATTCGCCACCTGGTGGTCATGTGTCCCCGAGTATGCAAGGACTTTTGAGGAATCCCTGTTCTCTGTCGAATGACACTACTTACCTTAGGATAGTCCCGGAAATAAACGGTGAAAGCCTATGCTTTGCTAGACAGAGGTTCGGATACCACAATGTGACAAGGAAGCTTCCGAACTGTTACGGCTAAGTTTCCCTGGAGTACAAATGAATGTTTATACAGTGAGTGGAG